ATAGCCCCTTTGTGTGTGCAGGCGTGTGCATGCGTGCACGTTCTCAGTATAGGGAATGGAACCCAGGGTCTTACACATCAGGCAAATGTCATGCCACTGAGCTACACCCTCAGTGCTCTGTCACAGCCTTCTAATTGAATTCACTTTAATCTGCTCATTCTGGGATTCGGTACCAAGTACATAATTAATGAGGTAGTCCCTCGGTGTAAAAGGAGAATTTGTTCCAGGATCCCCACCAGAATCACTGGATGCTCAAGTCTAAATTACTTATAATACCTAATACAATATAAACTGCTCTTATCTTGTATTGCTTAGGAAATAATGACAAGAAGAAAAGCCTGTATTTGTTCAAACACAATTCTTCCCAGTGTTTGTTTGTTTTCCTTTTGAGACAGGGTCTTGCTATGCAATTCAGGATGATCTTGAACTCACTTGGTAGCCCAGGCTGGTCTTGAGTTTGCAGTGATCCTTCTGCCTTAATGTCCCAAGTGCTGGCATGACAGACATGCATCACCATGCGTGGCTTTTCCAGTATTTTCAATCCATGCTTCATTAAATCTGAGGATGTGGAACTCGGGGAAATGGAGGGCTAATTGTATCATAACATTATACTCTTTTTATTATTATTTCCATATGTATAAATAAGAAATTGAAAGTGAGTTGTCCAACACACGTAACTAACCAGTGGAATTTAATTTTTTTTTAATTTTAATTCTTTTGTTTTTGGTTTTGTTTTTTATTTTTCTGAAACAATCTCACTATTGCACTGGCCTGAACTCACAGCAATCCTCCTGCCTCACTCTCCCAAGAGCTGGGATTTCAGGTGTATGCCACCATGTCTGGCTTTAATTTCTTACCCTGACTGTGGTGATGCAGGTTGATAGTCCCAGCTATTTAGAAAAAAAAAGTGAGGGGCTAGGGAATAACTAACTAGTAGAATATTTGCTTAGCATAGGCAAGGCCTGTGTTCAATCTCCAGCTCTTCAAAGTAACATTCCCAGAGTCTTATTTCAGTTTTTATCTTGTTTTGTTTTGTATTGAGACAAGGTCTCACTATGTAATTCAGGCTGTGGTTGAATTCACTATGTAGTCCAGGCTGGCCTCAAACTCACGGTGATCCTTCTGCCTCAGCCTTCCAAGTGCTGGGATTACAGGTTATGCTACTACACCTGACTCCCCAGAGTTATTTCTAACTCAAATTACTTTGTCAAAAATACCTTTACTAGTCATGTGCACTGTCTAGTAATCTGTAATCTCTGTAATCGCAGCACTCAGGAAGGCTGGATCAGGAGGCTTTCAAGTTGCAGTTCTGCCTGAGCAACCTAGTAGAAACTGTCTCAAAATTTAAAAATGGCTCGAGATGTAACTCAGTAGCAAAAATAAATAAGGCAGGTGTAGTAATGACGGCACTCTGAGAGGCTGAGGCAGAGGAAACACAAGTCAGAGCCTCGTATGGGCAATTTAGTGATTTAGCAAGACCCCGTCTCAAAATTTAAAAACAAAAAAAAAGGACTGCAGCTGTAACGCAGTGTGAAAGGCTTGTGTTCAGTCCCTAGTACCATTAATTAATAACTATTTGATTATAAAAATTCTATCCATTTGCAAGGTACAAATTATATACACAGAGACAAAGATCTTGTCTAAAATAAACAAAAAGTCTTAAAAAGAGTGATAACCCATTGTTGATACCATTAAGACTTGTTGGGCATGCTAGGCAAGCACTCTACCACTGAGCTACATCTCCAACCTCTCCTCCCTTTTTATTTTTATTTTGAGACAGGGTTAAATTGCCAGGTTAGGCTGGAATTTGTGATCTGCCTGCCTGCCTCTGGGAATAGAAATATGTGCTACTATGTCCAGCTTGTAACTTACAGCTTAATAAAAAAGATTACAGAAAGTAGAAAAAATTAACCCAGGACTCCTAAGTTTGAAATTCATGATGCAACAAAGCAGTATGTTTAGAGATCTTTAAGTTATTGAGTCTGACCAATGTGAGGGTCAAGAAGAGGAGGGATAGGGGCTGGGGATTTAGCTCAGTGGCATAAGCACCTGCCTTGCAAGCAGGCAGTCGTGAGTTAAGCAGGCGGTCGTGAGTTCAATCCCCGGAACCGATAAAAGGAAAAAGACCCAAAAAAAATAGGGATTAAAAAAAATTACAAATTATAAGAATTTTTTCTTTTTGAGGCAAGGTCTCACACTGGTCCAGACCAGCCTTGAATTTACTGTGTAGCTCAAGCTGCAATCATATTCATAATCCTCCTGCATTAGCCTCCCAAGGCTGGGAATACAGGTGTGTGCCAACACACCCAGCATAGAGGGTAACGTGTGTAAAGGAAAACTGGCAGAATAACGGTTAACTGGTCACGCTGTACACAACAAATTTAGCTCAATCCCAGATGGTGAGGTCTTAGCTGCAGGATTAAATCCTAGATTCTCATCCTTAAGAACTTCTTTAAGCCTGCTTCCCTTACTATAAAATGTAATTATAAAAGAACCTTTTCCTAGTATAAGACAGTGCACATTAGGAACTTAAAATAGCCTGGCATATAATCCTCAGTACACATTACAACGTAGACAAGAATTTAAGACTTGTTAATATGTCAGCTGTATGGCTGAGGGCATAGCTGGTAATAGAGTGTTTGCCTACCATGATTAAGGCCCTGAATTTGATCTTCAGCACTGGAAAAAAAAACCGATGAGGAGGATGAAAACATACTGAATATAAATGAGGAGGAATTAAAGCAAATGCCCAGGGAAGTATAAACACTAATGGAGCCAGGAATAGTGGAAAGAGCAGTGGGGTTGGTAATCACTGGTGTCTTTGGGAATAGCTCTACAAACATTCGTAAACATCCAGTATGACTGAATGAGCTAGAATTAGGCTAAGCTGTTGAACCAGTGAAGGGGTGGAGCCAATGTAAGTACTTGATGAAGCACTTAGAAAAGATGAGGGTGCATGTAGCCCTGAAGGGTGAGTAAGCATTGAGATGAAGGTGAGAAGGTCATGAAACAAATCAACATGAGCAAAGGCCCACAATTAAGACACCTCAGGGTGAACACAGGAAGTTGTGGGCAGGTTGTCGGACACAGGAAACTAGATGGAGAGATAGGCAGAGGTCACACAGTGGTTATCTCTCACTGACCTTGCCAGTACACTGGAATGCCCCAGCCCTTTCTGCCTCAAAGCTGGAGATAGTGCTGTCTTTGCACTGCCCACACAACAGGTGCAGACATTCTCAGCCCCAGGACACTCCACCCTGCTGTCACAGGACTGACATGTCCTGTTTTCCTAAACTTGCTCTATAGGGTGTGCCAGGAGGACCAGCTGGGTTAGAGTGTAGGTAGGGCGCCCAGGCTATGCCATCTGAAGCCAGGGGCTAGATTTTTGTCCCCTCCCTATATTTGGGATGGGCCACTAATGCCTTGAAGAGGTAGGGATATGAGCCATCCCACCCACTGGTAGTCCATGATTCATTCATCCAAGGCACCACTGATACACATCCACTAAAGGAGCAGCACTGTAATAGGTGCTTGGAATACACTGAAGAGTAACTTAGTCATGATACTTAAAGACATGTCATCCAATTGGAAAACCAACACATAAGCATCCAACAAAATGTTAGAGTGCATAGGAACTGTAATAGGAATAGAAGTTAGTATTTATTTAGCATAAATGAAAGACTGAAGCAGGCTCTGGGCTATTTTGCTTGTGGCTCACTTAATTTTTATGACATCCCAAATGAGATCATCTCATTTTACAGTGAGCATGTTGCATCCAGAGAGGTGAAGTGACTTGCTCAAAGTTAAACAGTTTCTACTTGGCAGAGTTGGGATTCACATCCTGGGAGCCACATGTACCCTTCTTACCCACACTAGGTATATTGCCACCCAGAGAATGTTTGCCTTTTGGATAAATGCTATAGATTCAGAAGCAGGAGTGGTTACTGTAATTTGGGAGCATCCCCAAAGGCTTTGCAGAAGTGGGAGCTGGTCGGGCCTTGAAGCATGGGTTCTTGAGTGTAATTAACACTTTCCTTTGAATCATCATTTTTAGCCTGGAATGTCAAAGCTAAAAAGGACGCTAAAGATCAGTGGTAGAGTTCACACTTACCATGTTCAGCTAAGTTCAGCTGCCATCACCAGAAAACAAAACAAAGAAACTTACTATATGGTCATTTTTCTTTGAATGAGAGATGAGCAGCGATCTTCCCTGTTTGAGAGAAAAGCCAGATATACTGAGCCCCAGAGGACCCCAAAGCACTTAAGTAATTGCCATGGTCTAGTCCAGTATCCTCAGAATCTCATTTTTTTTTTTTTTTCTTTATGAGAATCTCACTTTTTTTTTTTTTTTTTTTTTTTTTTTTTTTTTGGTCTTTTTCTTTTTTATCAGTACCACGGATCGAACTCACGACCACACACCTGCAAGACAGGCGCTTATGCCGCTGAGCTAAACCCCCAGCCCCTGAGAATCTCACTTTTAACCATGCTGTCTGGAGGAAGAGAAAGCATTAGCTGCCAAAGACAAGAATGAAGGGGACATGTTTTGTTTTGTTTTGTTTTTGAGAGAGGGTCTCCTATGTAGTCCAGGCTGGTCTCAATCCTGTGGCAATCCTCCTGCTTCAGCCTCCCTAGTGCTGGAAGAACAGGTATATTTGCCACCACACCCAACTGAAGGGGAAATTTTAAACAGAGAAAACTAGCTGGGCAGTTAGTTGCTGCACTTTGTCTGTTTTCCTTGCATCCTGCCTGACATGCAACTGTAGACAGCCACAAATGCACTGAAGGAGTTGGGGGTTCGAACTGCTGTGGAGACTGAGGGGAGTTGTAGTTAGAGAGTCTCAAAGAGGGAGCCGAGTCCTGTGGGATGGAGAGTGCTTGTAAACCTTCCTTATGTTCTGTACTGTGTTATGGTCGGCCAATCTGAATCCCCTGGAGCCTTATGTCTTATAAGAGAGGGGGGCGGCCAGCACCTTTCTCACTGTCGCCTCTACCTTCCCTAGATATGTGCAGGTGAAATTTGTCTGTATTCGGACCAAGTCACACAGGAAGAGAACACAGAAGGACGACATGTGCCCAGCATACTTGCTCCTGCGGTACAATGAGAGACTAGATAGACTATTTATCAGTGAACTAAACACCCAGCATGTCCATGTTGATTCCAAAACTGCTGGTCCTAGAGGAGACACCACTGGCAGATCTCAAAAGACAGTGTGCCTGCAGAAACTCCAGCTTGTGCAATCCACAGTCAAGAAAGATGATGATGTAGCTGAGAAGACCCCAGTAGAGCCACCATTTTGCCCAGATAAAATTCAAGTACCATTCAAGCCAGAACAGGAAAACATCACTCCTTCCGACCTGACCAAAATAGCAAAAGTGATGAAGAACTTTCTTAAAGTAGATGAGGGTTCCATGGCCTCCTTCAGTGTGGGCACCAACCAAGACTTGGACCGGCTCAGCTTTCAGAGCAGCAAAATGAGTGACCTGTTCATCCGCTTCCCAGAGAACCTCCTGCTGCACCGGGTGGAGAACACTCAGGGCCATGTCCTCTATGCTTTCTTGGTGGAGAACAAGGAACGAGAGGGTCGAGTGGTCCACTTCTCTGTGCTCAAGGCTGAGACGGCCATTTTGGTGGCCAAGATGCTACGTATCTTCACAGAGTTCAACACTGATTGGCCCAAGGTCAAGGTGGTCTTTGTGGACCCTTCATTCCCTCACCGGGCCATCCTGCAGGAGATCTTCCCTGCTGCCCGGATTCTCCTTTCCATCTACCACACAACCCGGCTCTTAGAGAAGAAGTTGCATCGCAGTGCAGCAAATCCATCCTTTAAAAGGCTCATGAAAGAAGCCCTTCGGGAAGCTGTGTTTGTCGCTTCTGATGCCAGCCTAAAAAATCTCTGTCAGATGTCCCAAGCCCTCCTGGATGAGGATCTCTTCAGCTTCCTGCAGGCACACTGGTTCTCCTGTGAACTGTTATGGTACATGCATGTCAGGAAGGGCCTGCATGCGTGTAACACCTACATGGACAGCCTGGACATTGTCACCAGCAAGGTGTCAAGCCTCTTCCGGGAACAGCAGTCCCTGCTGGACTGCATCCTCCGCTTTGTGGATTACATAGACTTCTTCAATACCAAAGCCTTGAAGAACCTGCCCACAGTTTCTCCAAAGTTAAAGCGAACCCGGACTCCAAGCATGCCACCAAATGCGAAGAAACCTTTTGGAGTTTGTAGAGGAATTCTCACCAGGGCACCAGTGGAACAAACAAAGCCTGATTCACAGCAGGTTCAGTTGGAGCAGCAGCCCTCCCAGGGTGGCATGCTGGACAGCTTGCACCGAAGTGGCTCTGAACTGGCCTACAAGCTATGCCACAACGAGTGGGAGGTGGTCCAGAATTCCACCCACCTAGTGGAGATTGCTGGTTCCTCAGTGGATGTTCAGCTCCTAGAGGACTCTCACCAGGTTAGCAAAGATGGCTGTAGCTGCAGCTGTTCCTTTCAGCAGTGGTACCGCCTGCCTTGCCGGCATATTTTGGCCCTCCTGCACAATAGCCAGCAGCCAGTAGACGAAACTATGGTGTGCCGCAGGTGGCAAAAGAAGTACCAGCACCTTCTTGGGCCTAATGGGGAATTCCAGGACCGTGGTAGGATCCTAAACACAGATGAGCCTGAAAATCAGGGTCGGAATGACATGATTCAGGACCTAAGTAGGGAGCTAGCGAACCTGCTAATGCAGACTGAGGGGTCAGAGCTGGAGGAGCGCTATTCCACCCTGCGTAAGATTGTGGACATCTGGGCTGATCCCCATCAGTCATCTGAGTCCATTGGGCGGCCAGGAGGCTTCAAGGATGTGGGTTGCCTTCCTTTCCTCTGGGGAAAACAAGAGGAAGGGGAGGAACTCCCTCTCGATGAAGCCACAATGCATGACTAAAACACTTGCCCTGGCACCTTGGACCACAAACTCTTCTTGGAAGTCCAAGAGTTCAAAATGGACAAGTCATGTTAGGGGTCAGTATTTTAACCAATATTTTCCTAGACAGGGCTAAGGGGATTGTTAAAATAGGGAGGAAAGGGACCTCCCTGGTTGATAGTCCTGTGAATCTGCCTCATTTCAGCCCTTTGGCATTCCATTCTGTGGGAACCTCATTCATTGTTCAAGGCCAAAGCTATCCCCATGCTGAAAGGTCATCCCTGTTTCTCCTCTGACCCTAAGATCAGACCTTATTCTCCTTACAGAGATGAACCTGTGCCCCAGGATAGGATGAGACAAAATGGGCCTAGAAAAAGGGCCCTTCTTCAGGGACAAAGAGGAGGGTGATCTCAATTGGTGCCACTCTTTATGAAGAAACTGTCATTTGTCATCTATTTTTATTCATATTAAATAAAGTTGGTTTTTTTTTTTTAAAAAAATGAAGTCAAGCAGAGGGAATATGTTTTACTTGATCAGAGAAGGAAAAAGAATTGCATAGCAGGACTCCTAGGTTCGCTATCTTTACTGTCAGGAAGTACGTGGATTTATATTATATTGAAACAGGGGCTCGAAGTGTTGTCCAGGTTGTCTTGGAATGTGTGATCCTCCTGCCTAACCCTCTGAGTAGCGGGGATTACAAGCATGTGCCATGGTGCCTGGTTTGCATTTGCATTTGTGTTACTGGCAAGTGCTCAACCATTGAGCTACATCCCCAGCCATTATATGAATCTATTAACTTTAGAGCTGGATGTGGTGGCACACACTTGTAATCCCAGCACTCACGAGGCAGAAGCAAGATCTCTGTAAGTTCAAATCCAGCCTGAACTGTATAGTTACACCTTGTCTCAAAAAAGATAAAAACAGGGGCTGGGGATTTAGCTCAGCGGCATAAGCGCCTGCCTTGCAAGCAGGCAGTCGTGAGTTTGATCCCTGGTACCGATAAAAACGAAAAAGACAAAAAAAAAAAAAGATAAAAACAGGGCCAGCGGTTTAGCTCAGCAGCGTTAAGTACCTGCTTGGCAAACGTGAAGTCGTGAGTTCAATCTCAGCACCACAAAAAAAAAAAAAAAAAAAAAGTAAAAACAATGAATTTATTAATTTTTAAGATAGAACCAGGGGCTGAGGATTTAACTCAGCAGCATATGCACCTGCCTTGCAAGCGCACAGTCCTGAGTTTGATCCCCGGTGCTGGTATTAAAAAAAAAAAAAAATAGACCTGGGTGTGGTGGTGCACGCCTGTAATCCCAGTACTTGAGAAGCAGAAGCAGGAGGCTCATGGCAAATTTGAGGCTACCCTTGGCTACACTAGTTCTAGGCCAGCCTGAACTACATAAAACTACAACTGAACTACAGTTGGGGCTGTGTAGTCAAATAGAACCTAATGCCTCAACTGAAAAGCAACTCACCACTTAACTTTTTCTTCGTATCAATCAAGCCTTCAGTGTTGATTTTGGGTTGCCGAATATTCCAGAGTAAGAGTTCATATAGACTGGAAGAAACTTGAATTCTAGTTATGACTGCCAGAACTTGGGGGACTATGGGCAAGTCCCTAATCTCTTTGACCCCAATTTCCTCAGCTATAAAAATCAGCATGCTGGGTTGGGGATTTAGCTTAGCGGCATAAACTCCTGCCTGACAAGCTCGAGGTCGTGAGTTCGATCCCTGGTACAAAAAAAAAAAAAAAACCCAAAAATTAGCGTGCTTGTCTATTCTAATCCCCAATTTCCCCTCTAGATCTATATAAAATTTTCCTTGCAATACTAAACACCAACACATGGTGTTGCTAGTTGGTAATCTTAATTGCCTACAGCCTGGTAACCACCAGCTTTAAGACTCATCTTCTGAGAAACCAAGGGCCATAAATGGCAAGCAGTCAACTCTTGACTAATTCACTGAGACCTTAAGTCACAGCATCACTCTGAACCTATTCTGTAAATTGTGGATGGACCCAGGCTGGACACCTCTTTCTCTCACTCTTTCGTATCTGGATTTCCTCAGCCTCAAGGGTTGGGTTCCTGATACCTGTGAGAGAGGCAGAAATTAGGCCTGTGCCTCAGTTTCCCCACAAAGTAGAATATGTGGTACAACGACATTTGGACTGTAAGACTCTGGGCTTGTGTTTAACAACCACCGCCACCCCAAATAATTTTGTTTTCAGTAAAATACTGCTATTTATTTTCATTTTCATTTTTAGCCTGTGAGGGAACTTATATAGCAACCTGCCCTTCCAGTCGTTCCGGATGAAGGAAGGCTTCAGAATTCCAGTCGCAGCGATGAGATGCGAGCGGGCTTTTCATTGGTTGTCGCCAGCCGTGCGTCCCCTTGTAACCCTGGTAACAGTACCCGCCCTCGTGCTGTCGCGCTAGCATTGGTCCGTGGCTCCAAAACCCGGAAACGAACTCCTCAGGCCATTGGCTTGAGTCACTGCAACTTGGCGTCGTGGTTGGAGAACATTCAGGTCAGTCAGAGTCGGAGGCAGGGTCAAATAGAAATGGCGACGGAGCTAGGGTGTGGATGAGTGATTCTTCCGGAGGTGAAGGTGGGTGGCAAGCTGTGCTCCTTGCTGTCCGACATTACACAGCTTGGATAGAGTGGGAGGTTAAGTGCTCTGACTCAGCCGGACTCCTAACGCAACCGTCCGACATTCCCATCTTTAACCCAGGTTAAAGGTGAGGGGTCAAAGTCCATATTCCTTTTCCTTTGGACCCTGTGGGAAACCCTTAGGAACTCAAGCTAAAGACTTGACTTTAAGTAACAATAATTGTGGGCAAATTCCTTAACGTCCTTAAGCTTCAGTTTTTCATCTGTGAAATGTGGACAGTAGCCCGTTTGAGGGCCAACATGTTCAGTAGAGCATCTCAGCTAATGGAGGGGGGTAAATAGAGGTAGGGACAGTGCATATTTGTTAGCCTCATTTTATGGTGGAACGGATTGAGGTTCCGAGAGGCTCACTGACTTCCCCAGCATCCCGAAGCAAGTTTGGAGCAATTACAGTTTTTATTACAGGTGTTGTGTTGTGTTTGTATTGTTTGCTTGCTTGTTTATTTTTTTTATATACTAGCACCCAGGGAAAGAATAGAGGCCAAGAAGTAATTTGTAGACATAAAGGCCATACATATATTTAGAATGCTATTTTAAAAGAGGAGCGGAATATGCAGCTCTAACCTTTGCATCTATTTATTTATTGAGCCGGGGCCTTCCTATGCAGTTTAGGCTGGCCTTGAACTCACTATGAAGCCCAGGTTTAACTCATGGCAATTTTTCTGCCTCGGCCTCCAGAGTGCTGAGATCCAGGTGCGTACCATCACACCCATAATTTTTGGGGGTGTCTGGAGTACTAGGTATTGAATCCAGGACTTTTGCACAAAGCTACATCTCAACTTCTGCTTTTTTATTTTTCATTTTGAGATAGAATCTAAGTTGCTGAATTGCCTAGCTGATCTCAAACTTCTAATCTTCCCTCAGACTTCCTGAGAACAGACTTACAGGTGTGTGCTACCTCACCCAGCATGGACCCTTTTTCTTTTAGATTTTTGTTTTCATTTGTTTTTTGGTGCCAGGGATTTAACTTGTGACCTTGAGCCTGCCAGGCAGGCACTTAGCTGCTGAGCTAAATCCTCGGTCTTCTTTTTCTTTTTCTTTTTCTTTTTCTTTTTCTTTTTCTTTTTCTTTTTAGACAGGCTCTTGCTGTTCAGTTCAGACTATGTGGCCTCAAACTCACAGCAATCCTCCTGCTTCAGGCTCCCAACCACTGGGATTACAAGTGTGCATTACCACAGTCAGCCATGAGAGACCTTTCTTAATCACCTTAATTAATTAAAGTATCCCCCCTTTCCCAACTCACTATGGGACTTGTTGCGCAGGTTTATCAGTTCTGTAACTCTCATTTGATGTATTCTTGTCTATTTGTTACAGTAGAACAGTGCTGACACATATTAAGTGTTCAGCAAATATTGTCTAGATAAATAATTGAAGAGCCAAATCTATACTATCTCCTTAAACCTTTGTTGTTCTCTTCAGGTGCATCTTTGAAACAAGAATTAGAAACCACAGCCCAGCCTCTACCCTTGACTTCTGTGGAACTTGGGAGACTCACAGCCTAGGTAACAGTCTGGCAGAGAAAGTATTTTGACCTGGGCATTTAGAAAGCTGTTGTCTCCCTCATGGCCCTAGCAATGCTGAATGGGAATCTGATTAAAGACTCGAGCCCACCTGTGTTGCTGCACCAGCTTAGCAAGACTCCTGAGCTGGATACCTTCAACTACCAGAACTGCTTTATGCAAGACCTCTTTGCCCATTTCCCTGAGATCTTACTTATCCACCGCACCTATAACCCAAATGACAAGGTGTTATATACCTTCCTGGTGGATGGACCTCGAGTACAGCTAGAGGGTCCTCTTGCCCGGGCAGTCTACTTTGCTATTCCTGCCAAAGAAGATGCCGAAGACCTAGCCCAGATATACCAGGTGTTCAAGAAGTTTAACCCAGCATGGGAGAGAATCTGTACCATCCTGGTGGATCCCCACTTCCTCTCACTGCCCACACTAGCCATGGAGTTCCCTACAGCTGAGGTCCTGCTCTCAGCCTTCCACATTTGTAAATTCCTACAGGGCAAGTTATATCAACTGTCCCTTGAACAGCCTGTGGAAAGGGTGCTTTTGACCTCCTTACAGAGCACGATGTGCTCAGCCACAGCAAGCAATCTGAGGAAGTTTTTTATACTCTTGAGCAGCTGCATCGCCCCATCCCGAGTGTCTGAGCTCCACCCACGCTGGCTGCTCAATGATCGAATCTGGCTGGCCCACCGCTGGAGAAGCCGAAGTGAGAGCATCCGCTACTTCCAGAGCCTTGAAATTACCACCCGAATTCTCAGTCAGTTTTTTGGCACCAACTCATCTGAGAAACAAGGCATGGCCTCCCTATGCCGATACATGCAACAGAACCCTGGGGACAAGGCAAACTTCAACCTGGGCATGAGTCCCCAGGACAGTCACACCACCTCAGATGCTAGCCCTGAAACCCCCAAAGTAGAACAGTTGGTAGAAGCTGGCATCCAGAATTCCCTTAATGCCATCTGCACAGGGCCTGCAGCCCAACTCTGTCTGGGTGAGCTTGCTGTGGTCCAGAAATCCATGCACCTCATTGGCTCTGGCTCAGAAAAGATAAACATCCAGATCTTGGAAGATACCCACAAGGTGCAGCCCCAGCCTCCTGCCAGCTGCAGCTGCAACTTCAACCAGGTCTTCCATCTGCCCTGCCGTCACATCCTAGCCATGCTTAGTGCACACCGCCAGGTGCTCCAGCCCGACATGCTGCCAGCTCAGTGGACGGCAGGCTGCGCCACTAGCCTAGACAGCATCCTGGGCAGCAAGTGGAACGAGACTCTGGATAAGTACCTGGCAGTGACCCTCCTCACAGAGGAGGTGGGTCAGCTGTTAAAGCACTGTAGCAAAGAGGAGTTCGAGCGGCGGTACAGCACCCTGCGGGAATTAGCTGACAGCTGGATCGGCCCTTATGAGCAAGTACAGCTCTGATTCCTCTCGTGCTCGGAGATGCTAATACACATGTATGCCTCGTATCCTTCCCTACCCACATGCAAGGAAACACACAGCTGTATTTTCATGGTACTTCCTTCCCAAATAAGGACAAGGGACTTGTACTCTACCACAGTCTGCTACCTAGCATATGGCTCGCTCTGTAAGATAGGAGTCAGCTTGGATAGAGCTGGATCAGGCTGGCCTCCATCATGCTGCAAATGTTTTCTGTAAAGGGACCAATAGTAAATATTTTCAATTTGATAGTCACATTCATCTCTTGTATATTCTTGGTTTTGTTTTGTTTTGTGGGTTTTCTTTCTTTGTTTTTTGTTTTTGTCTTTTGAGACAGAGTCTCGCTATGCAGTTCAGGCTGGCCTTGAACTCACTTTGTAACCCAGGATGGTCTTGAACTTTGGAACAAACCTCCTGCGTCAGCTTCCTGAGTACTGAGATTACAGATGTGTGCCTCTGCCTCCCTGGCATTTGTTTTGGTTTTTACAATTTATTCATAAGATAAAGATGATTGTTAACTCATTCATCTTATACAGGGAACCCCTGGTCTAAGATAAGAGATAAGGCTGGGTGGATATGGTGGTACATGCCTATAATCCCAGCACTCAAGAGGCTGAGACAGAAGGATTGCTGAAAGGTGGAGCACAGCCTAAACTGCATAGTTTAGGCTTGGTTTTCTTTTTTTGGTACCAGGGATTGAACTCATGACCTTGAACTTAACAGCCAAGTGCTTGAGCTGCTGAGCCAAATCCCCAGCCCTAAAACTGCATAGTTTTAAAAAGAAAAAATCAGGTGATGAGCTTCGGGCTGGGACTTGGTACCAGCTGCCCTAGTCACAAGAAAGCAAACTCACCTGACCCATATCCCATGAGTGAGCTGGCCTGGGAGCCCACTCATAGACCAAGAGGCTGCTCAGGGAGGTGGCTCGGCCCAGCTCAGCAGTTTTTCCCCTGCTTTATTCTGTGATCAATAAAGTTGAATGTTTTATATTTTAACTCTTGCCTAGTTTGTGTTCTGTAGGTGACAGTACAGATATATTATGAAAGGAATAGATTATTTGTTAGAGTTCTTTCCCTGCTTTGTTACAGACACCTGGCTCTACATTTACTAGCAGTGAATTCTGGGCAAGTCAGTTTTCTAAGTCTTCATTTTGTTTATCTTCTGCTGGGCATGGGGCTATGTATAATCCCAGCACTGAAGGGGCTGAGGCAGGAGGCTTGCAGCATGATGGAGGCCAGCCTGAACTACATAGTGAGAGCCTGTCTCAAAAAGCAAAACAAAAATACACAAATGAGCATCCTCGTGCAGTTGATCAGATTAAAGTGGTCTTTTACTTTGCCTGAATGCCTAGTGAGTAATTTTCCTTCTTTGCTTATGGTCTCATCACCTGCCTTCAACAGGCTGAGAAATTTAAGGCAGTAAGAAAACTCACATTGGATCCCCATACCAAAAAAAAAGACACATTGCCTGTGACTATTTTTACCCTGTTACTGGGGATTGTCACTGGGCTTCATCCCTACCTTTGTTATGTATATTTATTTAAATATTGGCAGTTGAACCCAGGGCCTTCATACTGAGGTACAGTCCCAGCCTTTTCTCACTGCATTGCCCAGGTTGAGCTCAAATTTGTGATCCTCCTGCCTCAGCCTCCTGAGTGCTGGGATTATAGGTGTGTGCCACCACACCTGATTTCTTTCTTTTTTTTTTTTTTTTTTTTTTTCTTGAGATCGGATCTTGCTAAATTACCCAGTCGGACCTTGAACTTGTGATCCTGCTCCCTCAGCTTCCCAAGTAGCTGTGCACCACTGTACATGAATGTACAAGAAATTTTGATCAAGTCTTCAGTGTAGAAGTCTTTCTGAGTATAGCCCCTCACCTGGGTAATTTTAATCTATCTGATGAGACTTAGTTGTATGAAGAGAACTTCTGTGGGGCCTGGGTACTAATGACTGGAGTTTTCCTTCACCCCCACCCAGTCCCCATTCCTCCCAGGTTCCCACAAACCCCATCTACCCAAAAACCATACAGAGAAGCCACCCTGTGTGTCTGGTGCTATTTCATCCAGCTACAAGCAGGAGCCACGAGGCTGGCCCCTCCTGGATCTTACTAGGGATGTCTCCCCAGAGGCTGTGTGGGCCTGTGTCTGTACCCACTGCGCCCCCTCAACAGCTCTCTCTGGCTCTGGATGAGCCATCATGAAAGCTTGAGCTGCCCGGATCAAGTCCTCTTCCCGCAGGCCTGGGACAGGCACAGTAGGGATGCCAGCGATCATCATGGCCAGGGTCAGGATGCAGATGTCAGACTGGGAGCCGGCCTCCTTCCCCCCTGCCTCGGAGGGCACTGGCAGAACCCCTGGTGACATCCCACACAGCAGCAGGGGCCCAGGCCTGCTGGGGCTGCCGAGGTGGGGAGCTCCGCTGCTGGAGCAGCCATCCTCCCAGCCCAAGCTCTCCGGCTGCCTCATGAGGCAGAGTTTGTGGCAGTATCGGCTGTACTCCTTTCTTGGCAGTGTCTCCCAGCTAGCTCCCCCAGGGCGGCGCCTGGCGTCAGGCACTGCCTGGGCACCAGGTACCACCTGCTCAGCTTTCTGGCTCAGAGGGCCTGGTCCACCAGAGGTCAGCACCACTGGCTCTGCAGGACTATAGAGACCAAGGGAGGAACCCGGAGAAGCAACCCCACCTGCAGAGACAGGAATGAGACGGAATGTTATTTTTGGCCTCTTTGAGAAAGAGGCCCTGAGGGGCAGGGCTTGGGCACAGGAGCAACTGAGACCAGCCCAAGGACCGCAGAGGTTGGGAACTATGTTACTCATCATACCCCTAGTCCCCAACCCTGAGCAGGTGACAGAGGAGCACTGGATGAGTAAGGCAGCAGGTGGGTAATTAGCAATTACTAGGGACTTTTGGAATGCCTTTTCTTGACTCCAAGGCCAGCCCCAAAATGCCCATCAGAAAAACTCCACCTCCCAAAGCCAGGAAGCAGCTGCACACGAGAAATTGCAATGCCCTCTCCGGTTCAAGGAGACCCTCTCACCTTGGCCAGAAGATGGAAGACCTGGATGAGATTGTGGAGACAGGAAGTAAGACATGGCTGCCCCAAAGCCCCGGTTTATGAGGGAATAGTCATATGTCTCCTACCCTACCCTCTGCACCCTTCTAGAATGTCACCTCACAGTGCCTCCTCTTTATGCCTGCAGCCTACCTCATACCATTGACCATTCATTCTAGAATCTTACACGACAATGAGATGGTATTAAAAATACACTGCAGGGTGTTCTAGATTCTTGCCCTTACCTTAGCCAAATCCCTGGGACAGTTTTGCTCCTCAGTAGCCTCATCTGTACAATAGGAGTGATGAATGCCCCCTACCTCACCAGTTGTGAGAATGAGATTTGTATGGAAGCAAATGATCAGAGATACAAATAAAGGAGTCTAAGGCCAGGCACGGTGGTACACACCTGTAATTCCAGTACTCAGGAGGCTAAAGCAGGAGGGCAAAAACATTTGCATCTTTGGGCCTCAAGTTCCTCTCTGCAAAATGAACTAGTTGGGCTAAGGATCTAATTCTCAGTTTACGTTATACATTTGAATCTCTTCAGGAGCTTTCAGAAATTCTTGTTTTGCTCTGTTTTATTTTTGGGGGACACGGTCACGTTATTTAGTTCAGGCTGACCACACCAGGCATGGAGCTTTGAGATACTTTTGTTTGTTTCTTTGATACAGGGTCTCACTACGTAGCGCAGGCTGATCTCGAATTCATAGTGATCCTCCTGCCTCAGCCTCCCAAGTGCTGGGGTTACAGGTGTGTACCACTGCAACCAGACACTTTGAGAAATTCTAATGTCCAAGTTAATCACAGACAAATCAGAATCCCAGGGTCAGGTTTAGGTATTTTTTTGTCTCAAGTGACAATGCTATGTATCAAAGTTAAAGCCGCTGTCTAAAGAAATTTGTCTCAATTGGGTCACTACATTAGAATCAGTAAGAAGAGCTGGATGTGGTGGCACACACTTGTGATCCTAGCATTTGGGAGACTGAGGCAGGAAGACCACTTCAAGTTCTAGTTCACCCTGGGCTTCATAGTGAGTTCAAGGACAGCCTAAACTACATAGTTGAGACCCTACATCACATATACACCAAAAGCTGGTCATGGAGACATATGCATATTATTCCACTAATCTCAGCACTCGGGAGGCTGAGGCAGGAGGATCTTTGCAAACCAGCTTGAGCTACAAAGTGAGCCCAAGGCCAGCCTGAACTAGATAGTGAGACCCTGTCTCAAACACATACACACACACACACACACACACACACACACACACAATAAGAAGGCCATTTATAAACAATCACATGTAGGCCTAATCCCCTGAAAAATCGAAGGAGAATTTGTAGAGATACAGTGATACAGCCTGGGACATCAGCATAGTGGTTTGGTTAGGAACTCCTAGATTAGGTGGTGTCTAAAATGCTCCCTTTACTCTGTTCTGCTAACCTGCAATGATTCTAGAATTGCCTCTCACAGGCTGTGGGAGTAAGGGATGCTCTAAAAACCCGAAGAATGTCATGTCAGCTGTTTATTTCTGGTCCGTGTTGGCAGCAATGGCGCCAGTTTCTGACTAAACACAGCTCTGGGACCAGAATGCACTCTCTCTACTCTGAGTAGCTGCAGGCCTTCATTCATACTTGCAGAAATCCTTCAGTCCTCTGGGCAGGTGGAGCCCATCAATAGCCAGCCGGTGCACCACACTCCTCTGGATCGCTAGGCGGCACAGCGTCTGCAGGGAAGGCACTGTGGAAAGAAGGTTGTCAAAGACAAACTGATCTGAAGGGTGGGTCTCAGGCTGAGGCCCAGAAGCTTTCCCACCAACTTGAGCAGGTCCCTTTTCCTCTCAAGCTCAGCCGCTTCATGGGCTGCTCATATGCTTGAGATCAAGCAACTTTCACAAGCTGCAGCCCTGTTCCTGTTACAAGGCAGCACAATTCCTTCCCCCTTCACTCAGCAGCTTGCGGAGGCAGAAGTTCTGATTTGTCTATGCAAACACATTCTCCAGCCCAGGCCTGGCACAGAGCACGTTCTAACTCACTGAATTCATAAAATGTGATAGAGCTATAAATAAAGCTTAACACAGCTGTAAGAAACCAGATCTCAGTGTTTAAAAGCTTTCAATGTGGGGTCCGTAGTGTCACTAAATTAATCCAAATTGACGAGCATTTTTCTGGCAAAAGAACACAATTCTTATTCTTTTTTTTTTCCTTTTTGGTGGTACCAGGGATGTAACTCATGACCTTACATCTGCTAAAGGCAGGCGCTTATGCCGCTGAGCTAAATCCCCAGCCCAAGGACACAATTCTTGAGGCCCAACATCCAAAATCAGTTTAAACTCTTCACCCTAGGTTAATATAGAAAACACTCAAAATTAAAAGGGCCCTGCAGAGCATTTTAATCAACTGAGATGAGTATACTCATCTTGTGCAAAACTCTAAGCAGAGGTGTAGTCTGAGGCCCGATTCTACTTCTAAACCAGGCTGGAGAGATCAAAGCCTACTTGGCTGACTAGGAAGTCCTAACAGGTGCTAGCCTCAAAATCCGAGGGCAGTACACCTGTCATTTCAGAGACTGAATTTAAGAGAGGGCTGAGGATATAACTCCGGACAAGGGCCCCGGAACAAAAGAAAAAAGGTTCGGTCTGCTCACTCTGCCAGGAAGGTCGCTGCCCCGGGGAGGGATACCTACAGCCATACTCCAGCTGGACCAGGCGCACGCTTTTGGTGGAGGCGAACACGTCCACCACTGCGTAGAGAGGCTGGGCGGCTGGCAGCCCCCTGGCGCTGGGGCCCATGTCCTCGCCATTGATGATGATGTGCATGTCTGCGGTGCCATCTGGGTGCGGGCAGAAGAGAACGCCCAGGCGACTGCGGCGCGCGGTCGGAGGCAGCACATTCAGCTCATAGAGCTGGTCCAAAAGGTGGCTGTAGAGCCCTGGCCGGCTGCGGCCCACCAGGCGGTCCCGGGGAATTCGGAACTGCTCAATGCACAGATAAGGTTCCACCAGGAGGGCCGGGGATCGGCTGGGGGCTGCTGCCTCTGCCTCTGACTGGCCCTCCCGGGGCACGCGGTTGTGGTGGCGTGTGATGGCGAAGACCCAGGTGTGGCCCAGGTTAACCAGGTCGGGTAGCGAAAACTCGGGCACAAAAGTGAGACTGGCGGGGTCCAGCGCAGTCAGGCCGAGACGCAGATGCCCGCACCAACCCAGCTCTTTTTCCTCGATCTCGACCAGGAATACCTGACCCGGGGCCAGCGGGTCGCGACTGAAGCACACACCGTGGGCAAAGCTCTCCACGCGCGTGGCCTGAGTCCCCGAGGGGTCCACGCGAATGTTGGCTCCGTGCACACGGTGGAAGCGGGTGGGAGGGGGCTCCTGGGACGTGGGTCTCCAGGAAGCACCCAACTCCACGGAATGGGAGGCAGCAGCCATCGCCCTGGCCCGAGCGAGGCCAGCAGGCGGCGGGGGCTATTTTGGGCGGAGGGCTGAGCTCTTGCACTCCGAGAACCATGTAAGGCATTTGTCGCCCCCGCCCCCACGACTCCCATCTCCGAGACTCTGCCCGGGGGTCCTAGCGCCGCGTGCTCAGGGACCCTGTCCAGGACAGGGGCTCCCCAAAGGCTTGAGGGGCTCCCTGTCTCCACCTAGAGCATGAGGTCGCTGGCCTGGCGACTACTGCGGACTTTGACCGCTCCAGAGCGGAACTGAGTTACTATCACGTGACGCCGGGGCTCACGTGACTCGGAGTACACATGATTTCAGTCTCCCGGCGCCTCCTGGAGAGCAGAGGAGCTGGGGAGCCGAGGTGAGGGAACTCGGAGCGGGAAGGGATCCCGGAGCCCGGGGTCGGTGGGCAGCGGCGGCAGCCCGGCGGGTGGGAGCGGGCGGCGGTCTAGGGGTTCCCCGGAGGGTGCGCCCAGCTCCTCCCCAGGGACTGCGGTCGCCGAGCACCGGGGCGCGAGAGAACTGGTAAACAGCCGGCGCCCGCCGCTTCCTTCGCAGATGGCCCGAACCGCGCTGTTGCAGCTGTCCGTGTTGCTGTTCGCATCCTGGGCTTCCCGAGGCGGAGCAGCCCCCGACCAGGACGAGATCCAGTTCCTCCCCGGACTGGCCAAGCAGCCGTCTTTCCGGCAGTACTCTGGCTACCTCAAAGCCTCGGGCTCCAAGCACTTCCACTACTGGTCTGTGGCGCTGCACCCTGGGGCAGGGTGGGAGGTGGCATTTGCACTGCCCACCAGGGAGATGAGGACAGGGCCGAAGGTTTTTAAGACCATTGAGGGCATCTGGAGGGCGGGCCGCCTGGAGGGGTCCCCCCCCATCTGCACCAGCGCTGCCCTGATCCCCATCTCAGGTTTGTGGAGTCCCAGAAAGATCCAAATAACAGCCCAGTGGTGCTTTGGCTCAACGGAGGTCCCGGATGCAGCTCCCTGGATGGCCTCCTCACAGAGCATGGACCCTTCCTGGTAGGTAGAAAGAGAGGGAAGGGACAGTTCCCCAAGGGAAAGGCTGGGAGAGGGGAGACTAGGTTTGCATGGGTTTCCAAAATGTCTTCCTTCGTGCTGAACCTTGGTCTTTTCATCTGTGGCACTGTCTTAATTTGGGGGGAAGGGGAAGGAACTGGGAGAGAAACCCATAGGTAAAGGGCCTAGCACCATGGCCCTATCCCTCCACCTAGTTGGACTTCGAGACTCACTCAGCCATCTCCTTCCTCCTCAGATCCAGCCAGATGGTGTCACTCTAAAGTACAACCCTTATTCTTGGAACTTGGTATGGACCAAACAGTGGGTCCCCCTGGGGACATCTGGACATCTGGAGGGATTTATGAACCCTCATCTCCGTTCCTCCTCCCTTCTAGATCGCCAACATGTTGTACATCGAGTCCCCAGCTGGAGTGGGCTTCTCCTACTCTGAGGACAAGGTTATTGTGACCAATGACACTGAGGTGAGTCCAGCGCCTGCCCATCTACCTCAGCCTTCCTGGGGTTCTCCAAAGGTGGCATGCTGTGAAAGAAAGTGTAGTCTCAGAGTGCATTTTTGGCTGTGTCCTGTGCTATGTGATGTGATCATAGACAAATCACTTCCTGTTACACAAACTGGGTTGATTTCATTATCTCCAAGGATCTTTTCAGTTCAAATGGTAACTTGTTCCTGGTTCCCTTTATCCTGCCACCCCCAGGTCGCCCAGAGCAATTACGAGGCCCTTAAGGATTTCTTCCGCCTCTTTCCGGAGTATAAGAACAACAAACTCTTCCTGACCGGCGAGAGCTATGGTGGCATCTACATCCCCACCCTGGCTACTCTGGTCATGGAGGACTCCAGCATGAACCTTCAGGTGCAGGCCAGCTGCGGGAGGGAAGGGAGGCCCTCTGGGGCCATAGCCTTGCAGTTCAGAAGCTCAGACAGGTCAACATTGCTCCCTCATCCTCCTCGTCCTTAGAAAGGTCCTTGCCACTGGCTACCTTATCTCTGCTTGTATGGTTCCTACCTCAGGAAGCTCATCTGGCAGACTGACAGCTCTTTCTTTACCTTGAGTGGCTTCCCCCACCCACCACACCCACAATCCACCCTGAGCTTCAATTTTCAGATTGCAAGTTTGGGTGTGGGTTAAGGGAGGCTCCTCCTCATCCTCACTCTCCAGATGACCTAAGTGCCCTGGATACTTCACAGGGGCTGGCTGTGGGCAATGGACTCTCCTCCTATGAGCAGAATGACAACTCACTGGTCTATTTTGCCTACTACCATGGCCTTTTGGGGAACAGGTATGTGAGAAGGTTGGTTGGGCAATCCTTAAGGCAGGGCTGGTCACGAAATTGCAGATTCATTTTCCTGGCACATTTTCCAGACCCTGCCCCAGTTTATGTGCAGGGGACTAAAGGTTTGGTGCTAGATGGCCAAGAATAGATTCTGAATCTAAAGGGACTAAGGAGGGCTCTCTGTATAGCCCAGGGCAGTTCTGTGGAAGCCAGGATTGGTGACCTATATACCACACCCTGTGATCTTTCTTCCTCGCCTGGGGTCAGGTCCTGGTGAGCAGCGGAAGAGCAGAGAGGGAACACTTGCCATCTGTGCCCAGCAGGGGCCTAAGCACTTTTCCTCTAATCTCTTACAGGCTGTGGTCTTTGCTCCAGACTCACTGCTGCTCTCAGAACAAGTGTAACTTCTATGACAACAAAGACCCAGAATGTGTGACAAATGTGAGTACATTGAGTCCCCAGCTGGAGTGGGCTGGGGAGGTTCCCTTGCCTCTACTTGGCATTAGCCCTGCCACCCCTAATCCTGAGAAGTATCACCCCCTCCTTGGGGACTCCCTGCTTGTTTTTCCTGTTACCCCAGTGAACCCAAAGTCTCCTTCCACATGCTAGGCAAGCGCTCTACCGTTGAGCTACATCCCCAGACTTTTTTTTTTTTTTTTCTTTAATTTTGAGACAGGCTCTCCCTGAATTGCCTGGGCTAACCTCAAACTTGTGATCCTCTTACCTCAGCTTTCCCAATAACTGCAATTACTGGCATGTGACACTATCCCTGATCACCCCACCCTTTTTTTTTTTTTTTTTTGAGACAGGTTAGCCTTGAACTCACTGAGTATCCTGGGCTGGCCTCCCAACTTACAATGATCCTCTTGCTTTGGTCTCAAGTGCTGGGATTGATTACAGGCATGTGTCACCATGCCACACCCAGCCCAAATGCTCTTTGAGCTGCACCATTTGGCAGTCTTCCCTGGGATACCCAGTAAAGAAACTAAGGCCCAGGATTTTTAAGTCACTTGCCCTACCTCATAATGCTAGGGGAGTGGTGCTATTTGGACCCAGGTCTGGAAGAGTCTTTCCTGTAAGCTTTAGTTTCCCCACCAGTAAAAGGTGAAGCATCTGGGGCTGGGGATTTAGCTCAGCGGCATAAGCGCCTGCCTTGCAAGCAGGCGGTCGTGAGTTTGATCCCCGGTACTGATAAAAATGAAAAAGACAAAAAAAAAAACGGTGAAGCATCCTGGAGAAGTGGGTGAGACCATGGCAGGCCTGGGATCTGTAAGATGCGCTGCTGTGTTGTTACAGCTTCAGGAAGTGTCCCACATCGTGAGCAACTCTGGCCTCAACATCTACAATCTCTATGCCCCATGCGCTGGGGGTGTGCCTGGCCGTTATAGGTAGGAGCTGCTGTGTATCCCCAGGGCCAGCCCTAGCCCCATCCAGAGGCCCAATACTCACCATCACTACCCCCTTTCTCTTGCAGGTATGACAAGGACACTACTGTGATTCAGGATTTTGGCAACATCTTCACTCGCCTGCCACTCAAGCGGACTTGGAATCAGGTATGCACAGGCATGGGCTTCCTCCCCGTGGAGGGGGCAGAGCAGCCAAGTGAGGGCCCTAACCCTAATGGCTTTCCCCTAGGTCCTGCTGCGTTCTGGGAACAAAGTACGAATGGACCCCCCTTGCACCAACACCACGGCTCCCTCTACCTACCTCAACAACCCGTATGTGCGGAAGGCCCTCCACATCCCCGAGCAGCTGCCCGCCTGGGACATGTGCAAGTAAGGTTCTGTGGCTACGTGGGGCTCAGGGGCATCAACCAGGTTCCCAGGGATCCTTGGCTGGGGTTTCTCCAGGGGGTAGTGTGGACCCTCGGGACATGAAGAGCAGCTGTCGGGGCTGGGGATTTAGCTCAGAGGCATAAGCACTTGCCTTGAAAGCAGGCAGTCGTTGAGTTCGATCCCCGGTACCGATAAAAAGGAAAAAGACAAAAAAAAAAGAAAGAAAAGCAGCTGTCATGCAGGATGTTTAAGGGTCACACATCAGTGGCCACCATGGTTGGTAAAATCCATTGCTTTTGTGGCATTTAGTGAATGGACATGAGCCCCACTCCAATGCCTTCCCATCCTTAGCTAAAAGGTTGGTGCCTGGCACAGTGGGGCCTCCTCAGGTCTCCTGCTCTAGTCAATGCCCACGCTCTACCCTATTGTTTCGTGCTGTGACCTTCACGCTTGCTGGCTCCTAACACTCAGTGCCACTTGTGTTGCAGCCACTGTAACAACCAGGTGTCCTACGTGTTTCTAACTGGGGGTGGGCTGAGGGTTTCTGACTGCTAGGTGAGTCCTAGAGAAATAACACACCTCAAAAGCCGGCTTCCAAGTTGGAGGTTGGGAGAGCAAAAGAGGCCTGATCACTTGGGTTTGGTTTTTTTGTTTTTGTTTTTGTTTCTCCCTTCTGCTGCCTGGTCTTCCTGGGCCCTGTTCTTCCTGCAGTTTCCTGGTGAATTTACAATATCGACGTCTCTATCAAAACATGAACTCGCAGTACCTGAAGCTGCTCAGCTCACAGGTGCGTGGGGACAGCACAGCTGGATCTGCCAGCAGCCGTCGGGTGTAGAGTAGCACAGAAAGCTGGGGGCCCCTTAAAGCTCCCTTTGAAACTGGAGAGGCTGAACCTCAAGGTAAAGTCCTTTGCCCAAGGTCTTGTGGTTGACAGGGTCAGGATTTGAACCTGAGTTTGTCTAAGGGGTCTTTGTGGTCCTTTAGAAGAGGAAGAGTTAGTTGGATCACAGACAGGCAAATAAAGGATTAGTAGGAAATAGCCTTGCCTGAGGCTATATAAGGTCAACAGCAAGTCTTTTCCTTACTCTCTTTAACTGCAAGTTCCCAGTAAAGTGGGACTTAAGTGCCTTCACAGTAAAATGTTTCCTTAGCACACACTGGATAGGTAACAAACAGCAAACATAAAAAGTTCCCAGGACATGCTGTTTAGCTGGGCCCCTTGAATCCTGAGGGCTGGGGCTTGCACCAGGGCAGAGCTGGGGTCTGGGCATATTCTGGATCTCTTATTTGCCCCCTTATCCTGCTCCAGAAATACCGGATCCTGATATACAATGGAGACGTGGACATGGCCTGCAATTTCTTGGGGGATGAGTGGTTTGTGGATTCCCTCAACCAGAAGGTAAGGCATGGATTTCCAGCTTTGTTGGACAGGCCTGGGTGTCAGGGTGGAGTCCCTGGGAGCTGCTCTGTTCATGGAGGGCTGTAAACCCAGAGAGTAGCTCCTGCGCCCAAAGTCTGCCTGGCAGCCGCGGGCAGGGCTGAAGGTGCCACAGGCTAATGTCTTTCCTGGTGGAACAGATGGAGGTCCAGCGCCGGCCCTGGCTAGTGGACTATGGGGACAGTGGGGAGCAGGTTGCTGGCTTTGTGAAGGAGTTCTTAAACATCGACTTTCTCACCATCAAGGTAGGGCCGGCCATACCCTCTTGGCTGCCTTTCATTGTGGGTCACTACTGGCCCCTGCAAGGGTGTTTTCAGGGAGGGAAGGATGAAGGAAGGAAGTGACGGTGGAGTCGGACACTCACAAAGCACTGCTTCCCCAGGGTGCTGGACACATGGTCCCCACTGACAAGCCCCTGGCCGCCTTCACCATGTTCTCCCGCTTCCTGAACAAGCAGCCGTATTGATGATCGAGGGGACAATGAAAGCAACTTACTGTCTGACCAGCCCCTCTCAGGTCTACCACTAGGAGGAAGTTTGTTCTCCTTTACAAAGAAAGCACCCTGGGGGAAACCAGCCCACAGCACTGCTCCCACTTCCTGCACCCCAAGCACTGCAGCCTGGGCCCAGCATCTCAGAGGGCTCGAGGCTGCTTAGCACTTTATCCCTGCAGCAGTCCCTACCTGAGTGACCTGGCCCCCTCCCTGCCACCCCAACACAGCTCTCAGGACAGCCCAGAGGGAGGCGTGGACGGATTGTAATTGACAGAAATGATTATGGAATTAAATTGAATACAACTTCAGAACTTGTCTTCTCTGTGGCACTGGGGGCTGGCGGGATCCTACTAGGCTGTGGAGGGCCAGAGGCAAGAGCTGAGAGGGGCTACCAGGGTTGGAGTGGAGGGCTCAGGCAGCTGCCGTGGAGGGCGGAGGGGCACTGGATGCCTGGGTGTCTTTGGTGTTGGCAGGCTGGTTCTTTTCAATCACCTCGCGCAGCCCTTTGGCAAAGTGGAGGTCAGCCCCGATGGTGAGGAAGCCCTGTGCAGTGGAGTAGGGAGGGGCTTCATTCATTCGTGTGATTACAAGACAGAGTCTAGAGATGGAGGCAGGGCCCCTGGCCTTAGCGGGTCTCAATCTAGTGGGAGAGTGAGGCAAAGCAGTTCTCATGGTTTTGAGTCAGAAGTACTACACAGACTGAGCATCAGGGAGGGCTTCCCAGAGGAGGTGACCTCTCAGCTAAGATGTGAAAGATTGGTACGCTTTGGGATTGGGGTAGTGTATCTCAAGGTATGGCCTGGGGGGAGGGCTTGGAGGGTACTGGGGAGCATGGGGACTGGCATGTCCTTCCCCACTTCCCGCTCACACCCCTGCTCACCGCATGGTTCGTCACCACCTCACGCACAAAGCTGATCCGCTCAGGTAGAGGGATCTGCACTCCGCGCCAGGTCCGTTCTGTGGGTCACAGCAGCTGCCTTAGTCTGGGCTCACCCAGCTCGACCCCCCTCCTCGCCCGCTCCTCCCTTTATCCCTACCGTTGATCATGGGCATCACCCCAATCTGCAGCACGGTCTTCAGAGGCGCCTGAAGTGGGATCATCTGGGAAGGAGCGGGGAAAGACCCGGCCGGTGTGAGCAGGCTCCTTAGCTGCCTACCTCAAGCCCACCTGGCCTCCCGCCTTTCTGAACTCACTGCCAGCGACTCCAGCGCAGACTGGTTGGAGTAGATTCGGAACCTGCGGGAGCAAGAGAAACGAGCCCCGCTGGTACAAAGCCCGGAGGCCTGCCTGCCAGAGGTGCCTGCCCTTCAGGCTTCTGCCTTCCACTCTGCGGCTTCCCCGGGTGCTCGCTCGCTCCAGTGTACATCTGTGAGCGGGTCACTGCTGCCTCCTGCTCTCCAGATCCACTGCCTTTCATTTTTCAAGCGCCTCTGTACCCCACACCTCCAGTGAGTGTGTGTATGTGCTGTTTACTCATGGTGCTTACTCCTTGGCAGATACCATGTTTAAAAAGTTAAATGCAGCCAAATGCCAGGACACACACATGCGGTCCCAGCTGCTCAGGAGACTGAGAGGGGAGGATCCCAAGTCTAGGCCAACCTGAGAAACTTAGCAAAACACTGTCTCAAAATAAAAACTTCAGTGGTAAAGTGTTTGCCTAGTATGTGTGAGGGCCTGGGATCAACCCCTCAGTATCAAAGGGAAAAAAAAAAAAAAGACTAAAACTTTTTTTTTTGAGATAGCATCTTGCTAAATTGTCTTATACTCCTGCCTCAGCTCCCCAGCATGCTGGGCTTATAGCCTGTGCTATGACACCTAACGTACCAATTAATTTAGTCCTTACAACAACTCTTAAGAAATTGCATAGGGCCGGGTGTGGTGGCACATGCCTCTAATCCAGCATTTGGGAGGCTGAGGCAGGAGGATCACTGTGAGTTTGAGGCCAGCCTGAACTTCATAGTGAAACCTTCTCAAAAAGGGAAAAAAAATAAAAAGCGACATAGGGCTACAGGCTACCACAGTGGACAGTGCAGACACAGAACATTTCCCAGAGGAAATGTCTCAAAAGGGGGAAAAAAATAAAAAGAATAAGTAAAAAGAAAAAGAAATCGCCAGGCATGTACCAGGTGTGATGGTACATGCCTCTAATCCCTGCACTTGGGAGGCCAAGGCAGGAGGATTACTGCGAGTTCAAAGCCATCATTCCCTAGATAGTAAAACAGCAAAAAAAAAAAGACACTATCAGAAATTGTACTTCAAAAATCAGGATAATAAGGCCCATGGAGGTTAAGTAACTAATATCTTAGTTACACAACTGAAGTATCAGAACTTGCCTGTAAAATCTAGATTTTTAACCATTACCCTGTCTGATACATTTAGACCCTCCCTACTGTGTGTATGTGGGGGTGGGGGCTGGGGATTGAACCAGGCCTCATGCTAGGTAAGTGGCTTATGACTGAGCTACACCTTCAGCCCTTTTTTGTTTTGTTTTTGTTTTGAGACAAGATCTCAAAATTCCTTCAAGCTGGTCTTGAACTCACCTATCCCAGGCTGCCCTCCATCTCACAGTGATCCTCCAGCTTCAGAGTGCGGGGATTACAAGTGTACCACCACACCTGATTCCCACTCTTTTATTTTGTTTTTCTTTTGTGGTACTGGGGATTGAACCTACAGCCTTCATAGTGAGCTACACCCTTGGCCCTTTTTAATTTTGTGACAGGGGCTTTGCTGTCATAATTGCCCATACTGGGCTGGAATCTACAAGCCTCCTGCCTCAGCCTCCCAGAGTGGTGGAAATACAAGCATGCACCACTATACCTGCTTCCAGCCCTCATTTAGAGCAGCCCCAGAACAGCACCGCGCAGTGGAACTCTGGGAAATGTTCTGTGCCTGCACTGTCCCCTGTGGTAGCCTGTAGCCCTATGTCACTTAGTGCACCTGAAGAACTTTTCATTATACAGAGCTTAAGTGTAAATACTATGTTGTAGTTGAACATGGATGATGGTTACATAGCAGAGAACAGAGCCTAGGAAGTGACGTTTTTATCTGTGCTTCACAGGGGGAGAGAGTGAAATACAAAAGGCTAAAATAACTTGCTTCCAGGTCACAGATCGATTTACCTGAGGTTTCTGCCTGACTCACTTTCCAAACCTTTTTGGGGTGTGACTGTGGCCATGTCAGTTTCTCTACTGGAGGAGTTTGCTTGTCTCTAATACCTGCTTGGCCTGCCTCTAAGCTTGTCGGATGCAGAGAAGTGACTTTTAAAAGGTACTTTTAGCCAGGCGTAGTGGCACATGCCTGTAATGCTAGCAATCGGGTGACTGTAGCAGGAATGATTTCCGTTACAGCCACCCTGGGCTGCATACCGAGTTCAAGGCCAGCCTGAACTACATAGCAAGACCCTGCCTCAAGAAAACAAAACATATTTTTGTCTGGGCATGATAGTACATGCCTGTATCCTAGCACTTGCGGCAGGCCGAGACGGAAGGATTCCAAGTTCAACTTAGCAAGACCAGGTCACACAGTAAAAAGGGTTGAGGATATAGCTCATGGGGGAAAGCCTTTGGTTCAATTTCCTGTACTGGGGGTGAGAGGGGGTGGGGAGGAGAATGCACTTTTGTGGCTGGAAAGGCAGCTTAGTGGGTGAGTGTTTGCCTAGCATGCAAGTGGCCCTGGTTTCAATTCCCAGCACTCAAAAAAACAGAACAAAAAAAAAAACTTGTCTGCATTAACAAAGACAGACCATCTTGCAGTGGCTTACGGATGTGGCTCAGTTTTAGCTGCTGTGTTCTGTTGCCCAGATGTGATTATCATAAAGACATTAGGGTACCGAGTGGCCAGAGGCTGCCCAGATCCTCACCATCTGCATACCTGCTCAGTTCCAGCTGTGCGCGCAGCGCCTTGCCCCGGAGCGCCATCTTGGCACTGAGACGTGCTTCCTGTGATCAAGTACAAGGCGGGTGTTATAGGCTGGGAATGTCCACAGTGGCCCACTTCTCCCTGATCCCCAGCAGCTCCCAGCCTGGGGCCTGCACCATGATCATGCTGGACAGCTGGATCTCCGGCAGGTTGGGCGGGACCAGGTAGATGCTGACACTGGCAGTGACGGAGACGGTGGTGCCCGAGGGTTTGATGGTGCAGCGTGGTGGGGCAGTGACCTGAAGCTCCAGCTTCAGTGGGGAATTGATCTCTGCAGGGGTCTAGGAACAGAGCAAAGAAGGGCAGGGCATGTCTCTGTTGGCTTTCTGGAGAACCCCACAAGGGAAGGTAACAGCTTCGGGCCTCTGGGAGCTCAGGGACGGCCAAGTACCAAGACTTGCATGGCTTCCAAACTGGGTCTGTGTCTAACCTCTCTCTGTCCTTTGGGTTACACAGAAAAGTGTCTCCTTTTCTTCTTTTAGTTTTTTGAGGCAGGGTCTTGATATGGAGCACAGGCTGGCCTTGAACTCATTATGTAGCCCAGGCTGGCCTCAGACTTGTGGCAGTCCTCCTGCCTCAGCCTCCCAAGGGCTGAGATCACAGATACATATGATCACACCCAACTTCTGCTTTCCTAATACTTCCTCCTTAACATTCAGGGTCCATCCCTAACCAGACCCAAGGACAGCCCTTGTGCACTAGTATCTCAGCCCTGTTAACCTCTTTTCTGAGCTTCTGTACTACAAGACATGTAGGAATTCTATTAAATTCAAGCATTTACTCATCACCGAATGTGATTCTGTGTGTGTGTTAACTCGATCGTCACAATAACCATGTGAACCAGATAACAGTATCTCTATTTTTGAGATAGGGAAATCCCGTTTTGAGGTTAATTTGCCCACACATACTTAAGTTGCAGAACTGAAGCTGAGCAGAGTTCACGCTCTCAACTGTTTGGCCCCAGTTTTATGGTGGTGATCAGGACAACACTGATGACAGCAATAGGGTTAGAGTTTGAGTACTTGCTCTGTAGCAGGTGCCATTCTAATAATTTTACATGTTTAATTTAATCTTCATGACTATAAGGTAGAGGAGGTCTGGGTGACCTGCAGTCAGATTCCAAACTAGATTCAAATCCCGGCTCTTAGCATTTTCCAGATTGATCTGAGAACATTTCCTCTCTTTCATTCTGTATACATGCAAGAGTTGGGTTCTCTTCCAAACTCGCAGTAGCTCAGTGCCAGACACAAGATAGGAAGTAGCGTCTCCCTTTATGGATTTGGAAACCGGCTTTGCAAGGTAAAGTGCTTGATGACAAGCAATGGATAAGGACTTCTGTCTCCCCTTCCACCAAACCCCTCCCTGGTGTGTAGGTGACTACCACAAAACCCTGGCCAGGCCCCCACATCTCACCATTACTCACCAAGAAGACAATGCTCCCAAAGTAGGTGGCCCTTAGCAGCATATCCAGATCTTTTGGCATCTGAATGGAGGAATTTGAAAGAGACAAGGTCATTGGGAGCTTAGTCTGGGGCTCCTAACCCATCCTAAAGACAGGCCTGGCCTACCTTCTCCAGTGACAACCGGAAGGCTCCTGCCCAGAAGTAGCTCTCCAAGGCAGAATTGAAGAAGAACTCAGAGAAGGCCACATATACCATCCGCTCCTGCTCCTGCAGCTGGGGCTCCACTGCCCGGTTGAGGAAGCTCCAGTTCCCCTCAGCCAGGGGGAAAAATGCCCCCTGCAATTGGGGTTCAGGGTCAAGGTCAAGGCAGAGCAGCCCAGTATCTAAACTGACAGCAACCTGTCTCCTTGCCCTGTGCTAGTTCTGGAGAAATTCAAGGCTCATCTCTTCAAAGGCATTGATTGTAAGGGGGGCAGCTGGAGCCCCGTAGGGGGCTACCCCATTGGTCCAGGGGAGGGAGGACCAGGGCAGGTTCCCTGGGAGAGGCGGCATCTGAGCCGGCCCTAAAAGCCAGATGGCAGTAATGCATGCTGTTACTACACATGCAGCGTGGTTCTGTGCAAGGTACCCTTTCAGCCCCTTTGTGGAGATCAACCCAAGGGCCAGCCCTGACGTGTTTCCCCTTTCCACACTGACAAACAGGCATGGGAGGCTAAGCACCTCCATGAAGTCATGCATCTAGCCAGTGTCAGGGCCAGGGTTTCGGCCACAGATTTTGTGCTCTGAAATCCTTGGCTACCCTCCATTGGGAGGAGCAGAGGTCGAAGCCACCTATGTAGCTGCGTGGCCCTTGGTATGTGAATCAACCCCCTTTTTCCATTTTTGAGATGAAGTCTCCCTGTATAGTTCAGGGGGCCTCAGACTCTGAGCCCTCTGCCCCCGACACACACACACACACACACACACACACACACACACACACACAGTGGGATTAGACATCTGTGCCAGTGCACTCAGCTTTTCCTTGTTTGTTTTTGAGATAGTAGGCTCTCACTCTATCATTCAGGCTGGCCTCATACTCCTGCCTCAGTTTCCTAGATGCTGAGACTACAGGTGTCCGCCAGCACACTCAGCTACCAGCACCGTGGAGAAGTCTTCAAGTCGTATCTAAAATGAACACAGTGGCAGCTGGCCCTCCACCGCCACAGATTAAACCAACTTCTGACTGATCAGAACCACTGCATCTGTACTAAGCATGTCCTGTATGGACTTTTCTTTCTTGTCATATTTCCTGAGGAATACAGTGTAACAACTATTTACTTAGTATTTACATTGTACTAAGCATTATAAGTTATTTAAAGAATAAAGTATACAGGAGGAGGCCGGGGATTTAGCTCAGTGGCACAAGCACCTGTCTGGCAAGCACAAGGTTCTGAGATCAGTTCCCAGTACTAAAAGTGTACAGAAGGAACCAGGTATGTTGTGGCACACACCTGTAATTCCCGCACTCAGGAGGCTGAGGCAGGCAGATCACTGTGGAGTTAGAGGCCAACCTGGGCTACCAAGTGAGTTCAAGGCCATCATAGTAACCGCATAGCAAGACCCTGTCTCACAAAGACAAGAAATAAAGTATACAAGAGGATATGTGTACATAATGTGTAAATATTATGCCATTCTGTGTAAGGATTTGAGCATCCTCAGATTGTGGTATCAGCTGGGTTTTGGAACTCATCCTCCTTGGATAGCAGGGAAGGACTTCAGTGTTAGTACTGGATTCACAAGCGTCTGAGAGGATGAAATGCGATTCTGTATACAAACTTCATCTGCTTCCTTCAACAAGGAAATGGACAAAAAAAATTTTTTTTAATGGCGAGGGTGGGTGACACTGAAGTTGGAAGTGAAGGGTTTATTCAGGCAGGAGTAGCTGCAGAGAAACAGGATGCAGTTAGGAAGACGGAGCCAGGTGTGCTTAAGAAGGCTCTAAAACCAGAGAAAGCTGAGCAACCAGGTGCACATCTGTAATTCCATTACTCTGGGAGGCTGAAGCAGAATTCCAAGCTCAACCCCAACTTGAGCAACTCACTGAGACTGTCTCAAAAACTAAGAAAGGGCAGAGATCTAGCTCAGTCCAAAGGCCCTGGGTTCAACTCCAGTATGAGGCTGGGGCCGGGGACAAAACCCCAGAGGCAGGAGGTTGAACCTGATTCTGCAGCAACAGGGAGCCATAGCAGTCTCAGTAACAAGAGTGGCCTCATCAGAACTGTGTTTTAGGAAGATAAAACCATAGCCAGGTGTGGTGGTGCATGCCTGTAATCCCGGCACTTGGGATGCTGAGGTAGGAGGATCTTTGCAAATCTGAGAGCAGCGTGGGCTACACAGTGAGCTCAAGGCCAGCCTGAACTGCGTAGTAAGACCCTGTCTCAAAAACAAACAGAACTGGGCATGGTGGCTCATGCCTGTAATCCCAGCACTCGGGAGGCTGAGGCAGGAGGATCGTTGCAAGTTCGAGACCAGGCTGGGCTACAAAGTGAGATCAAGCCCAGTCTGAACTGCATAGCGAGATCCTGTCTCAAAAAGACAAAAAAAAAAAAAAAAAAAACAACCAACCAAACAAACAAACAAACAAAAAAACAGCAAGAAAGTAGGAGAGGAAGAAAGAGGTCAGAGGTTATTCACAACAGTAAACCAATCCAGGCAGCTCACCCGGAATTCCATGTCCAGATTGTCAGTGGAGACCACAGGATCCTTCAGGAGGGAGTAGTCTATGCCAACCAACTCATCCACAGAACTTCGCACTGCAGCGGGAGGGGTTCAGGTTACTCAAAGCTGTGTGATGCCAGGCTGGGTACTTAACTTCTCTGGGCCTCTTATCTGTAACATAGTGATGACACTCCCCTCCTGGGGTTGTTAAGAGGATGGGACTGGTTTTCTGTGGGGGCTGGGGATTTAGGTCAGTGGTATAAGCACCTGCCTGGCAAGTGTGAGGTCGTGAGTTTGAGCTCCAGTACCAAAAAAAAATAAAAATTAGCACACTTAAAACTGGTTTTCTGTGGAAACCACTTAGTGCCTGATATTTGAAGTAAGTGTTCAGTAATATTACCTCTTTCTTTCTCTCTCACCCCTTTTGTTTTAGTGCTGAGGATTGAATCCAGGCCCTCATTAAGCTTATGTCCTCAGCCGGGTGTGGTGGCACACTCCTGTAATCTTAGCATTCAGGAGGCTGAGGCAGGAGGATCGTTGGAAGTTCAAGACCAGCCTGAGCTACAAAGTGAGCCCAAGGCCAGCCTGAACTGCATAGTGAGACCTTGTCTCAAAAAGACAAAAAAAAAAAAAAAAAAAAAAAACCTTACATCTGCATCTCTTTTTATATACTTTGATTCAGAGCCTTGCTAAGTTGCAAACTTCCCAGACCAGGCTCAAACTTGCAGTTCTCCTGCCTCAGCCTCCCAGAACACTGAATTACAGACCTGTGCCAGCCTAAGATTATTTTTATTACTCCGACTATTGTTACTACTCCAGGGGTTTCTCAAGGCTCTAAGTAAGATGGCGAAGGAATCCTTTTCTTGATTTTCCTTACCTCATCCTTCCCTTCCCGTGCCTGTGTATTGGGCATGATATAAGATCTTTGCCCCCACAGTAGACTGAGATCACAGCTTAGGAATGAGTTCGTGTTAACTGAGCATCCAGTACCTGCTAGATGATGAAGACTGGTGGGGCCCCAATGTTAGCCATGAGGACCCTGTCAATCCTACTGGGAGGTGTTGCCGGCCAAATAGGAAACAAAAGCCTTGAGAACAATGACTACCGGACTCACCTGCAGTCACACAAAAGTCAGCAACAGGACTGCGGCCAGGACTGTTCCCCAGCTGGACTTGGAGGAGCCTACACTGAGCTGCTGCTGGCACATGCTCACCCAGCCCCCTCTGCCCCACCAATGCAGGCCAGCCCAGGGCTCCTGGCCCCAACTCACCAGGCACGGTGTCCAGGAGGGAGTTGAGCAAGATCATCCCTGAGTGGTAGAGCACTGGGCAAATCTGGGCAGCAAGGGCCAGAGTCAGGGCCTCCTCAAAGCCAGGGCGCGTCCACCCCAGGCCCCTGGCCTGCCATGGCCCACACCTGCTGGTTGAGTAGGAGGCGCATCCCAGAAATGATGAATGTGGACAGAAAATCATACAACCTCCTGCGTGCAAAGAGAAGAGAGGAGAAGAGGGGTGAACCCAGCCCCAGCCCCAGGCCAGGTCCAGGAGAACGGAGATGACCAGAGACAGGTGTGATGGAGTCCTCAGCTCTGGCCTGAATTACCAGCTACTCTGGGTTGTTTTCCAGCATCCGGGTCCCAAGCCTCTCTCCAGCTTGATTCTCAAGTCTGCCTCCCCTGCCTGCTGCCCCTGCCGGCCACATGAATCCACCACTGGGACCTAGCAGTTCCTCAGAGCTGCTCAGATCACCTCCCCCTCGCCTCCATACACTTCCCTTCCCCACTCTGTGCTCCTGGCCGGTTTCATCTTGGGTGCACGCAGGTCCTTGCTCTTCCAGGCAGCTTTGCCAGGTCAGCCTCCTCTGAACACCTGAGTCCTTTCTTAGTCCTTCTCTCGGGGTCCTGAGATGACAACTGTTTAATCCCTCCAGCTAGGCTCTGAGCTACTTTATGAATCCTCAGGGCCTGGCATACACTTTGCTGAATAAATAAAACCTTGACATTCAACCAACACCAGATAATAAATCCACTATCTTTTCCCCACTCCCTCCCAGAACCAGTATAACAAAATCCTCTTCCCAGCTCAGAACCTGGATCTATGGTATTATTTTTGTTATTATTAAAAGGAACTGCACATGTCTGTAATCGCAACACTCTGCGAGTCTGGGGCAGGAGGACCGCAAGTTTGAACCCAGCCTGGGCAATTTAGTGACTTAGTTAAGCCCTGTCTCAAAGTAAAGGGCTACCAATTACTGAGAACCTAGTATAGGACCAACTTTGCACACTAATCCTCACAATTACTCTTCCTGAGCAGCACTCAGGCATCTGTCATGTGCCAAGTCCTATAGGGTTCTGATCACAGTGACCTTATAAAGTAGGTTCCACACGCCAGGAACTTAGCTCAGTGGCTCAGCTGCTTGCCTGCCTTGCTAAGCAGCAAGGTCATGAGTTTGATCCCTGGTACCAAAAAAATCTAAAATGCTAAAACAGGTTCTATAATGGGCCAAGGATTTAGTTGAGGAGCACAAGCACTTTCCTAGCAAGCTCAAAAGTCCTGAGTTCAATCTCAGGACCAAAACAAAAAAATTAAAATAGGTTCTGTTATCACCCTTGTTATACCAATAAGAAAACTTAGGCAATATGCTTCAGTGATTTGCCCAAGTTCACAGGAAGTGCTAGATTTGGACCTAGTTGGTCTGACTCCCAAACTTTGTATTCTAGGGCTTAAAAGGGGAGCCCTGGGTCTGCCACTTACCCGAAGGTTCCCCCGAAGGTCATATGCATTCTGGAGACAAAGGCCTGGCACGAGAGATTGGATACTTTCATTCTGCCGGTGGGATCCTGGGAGAGCTGCAGACCTGTGCGGATGGACACACCCTCCGCCGAAGCATTGATGTAGCCCCCATCAGAGCTGCCAACGGGGGTTAATGTTCACCCCATTAGGGAGCTTGAGGATTCCCATACATTATGACACCTCTTAATAAGGCTTCATTTCTGCACGGTTTAGCAGACATCTTACTGAAGCCTCCTACCCACCTTTGTGAAGTGCAAGATTGTTCCTGACCTACAGCCGGAAGTCAGAAAAGCTAGGGGTTGCCCACAGCCCGACAGCTCACAAGCCCTCCCAACCACTGCCCTCCCGGATAGTACCAGATCCTCACAAGACCCAGTAGGCAAGCTGTCTCCGGAAGCGCAACCCCAAGGAAGCGTTGGTGATTTGCAGAATCAGCTCCTGCCCAGGCTGGAAATGGAGCTCAGAGGAATTCAGCTGCAGCTCAGTAACCTGCACCCTGTGGGAGGACCGGGTCAGATGCCGGGCCAAAGAGGAAGGGACCCTATCTAACCACAGAAAATTCATTCCTTTCTCTTTCGGTACAGGCCTGAGGAAACAAGTGGGTGGATGAATTTGTCCATGCCTCTGAAACTCTCATTTCGTTTTTGGAGAGTTTTGGTTTTTGAGACAAGCTCTCACTATGGAACCCACGCCAGTCTTGATCAAACTCATGGGTGGTCCTCCTGCCTCAGCTTCCTAAATGCTGGGATCACAGGTGTGCCCCACCACCCCCAGTCAAGCACTCAGTTTGGATCTGAGTGTTTCAGAGATTAGCTACTCCTGCTCCAGATGTTAAATGAGAGGTTCACATTCGTTCTTTCATTATTTTTATTTCTGTTTATTGTTTTTAGTCACTTATTTATTTTTTGCGTCTGTCTTGTATTTGTTTTTGGTTTTTTTATTTACTTTTTTTTTTTAAGATGTAGATTTTTTGTGTTGCCTGGACTGTCCCAAGTTCTGAGCTCAACGGATCCTTCCGCCCTCGCCTCCCAGCAGCTGGAACCGCGGGCAGGCACCACTGGGCACTCGAGCTGCTGGGAATCTTGTTGCTTGCTTCTCCTCCCCTTGAACATCCCAAGTTTACTCCACTGGATCTTTTGGCTTTGCCTGTTACCCAGGATCCGTTTCTTATCTCAATTTTTCCATCCCAAGCCACAAATCATACTTGTGACCTCTCCCATTAGCCCACTTCATGCCCTGGACTCCACTGTCATAGACTTGCAAGTTCCTTGACCCCTTAACGGCAGGCTTGTTCGCCAGGCCTCAAGTGCAAGGGTCGCACAGGGTTCTTCTCAGTCCCACCCGCATCCCCCACGCCACGCCCATCTCCCTGGGCCGGGCCTATGGTGTTTTATCTTTTGGCTCCTTGCAGTTTATTAAATCCCGCCCATCCGATCTGGCCTCGCCCCCCGGCCTTCCAGGGATCACGTGTTAAGTCAGCTCCGCCCTCAAGGCCCCACTTACTCAGTGATATTGTAGTGGAATTGGCCCTCTTTTCCCCGCAGGTCTGGGATGGTAATGGTCTCCAGCTCTTGCTCCAAAAAGCGCATCCCCTCCTGCTTCACTGAGACAACAGCGAGAACTTAGGTCCAGCTCTCCCTGCAGGGGGACCACACCCCATCGGCTTCGACCTGCGCCGGCACCTTACCTAGCTCCAGAGCCTTGGATGTAATGCGGATTTTGCAACCCGGGAGCTCCGCGTGAGCGCCAGCCAGCAGAGCTAGGAGGAGGGCCGGGAAGAGGGCCATGGCGAGCGGGCCTGTGGGCGAGGCGGGGTCGTGGGGGTCATCTGCTTAAATTCACTCCTGAGACGTCCCACAAGAAGGGAGAGCTAGCCTGGACTGTTACCGTCCGTGTAACTCTGGAAAACTTGGAGCCGGTAATACTGCCCCCATTTGGCAGATGGTAAAACTGAGGTTCAGAGAAGCGATCCGATTTGAACTCTGCCTCCCAAAGGATTTGGGACCACGGGGGAAGGGACGTCCTCGGTTTCTTCGTGTGAGGCCGCGTGACGAGTTTGGACCTCAGGGCGATCATTGCCCCCATCCCCCAACAACCTCCCCTTTTCTTTTTCTTTTTTTTTTTTCAACCTCCCATTTTCTAGCCAGACAGGCGGGTACAGGCTTGTGCGTTGCCATGGCAATGACCGCACGCGCATTCCTGGGAAAAGGTTTGCAGTTTCCCAGGCCCCGCGCCCAGGTTGCTGCTGGGACCCTGGGCTCCCATTTCTCCAGGCTACCTCCTGCTCCATAGTCCCCGTTAGGGACTATGCGGGTGCCCTCCTCCCCCCCCCCCCCCATCTCAACAGCCTCCTCCAGCAGCTCTCCTCCCTACCCCGGGCTGGCGGCTCAGCGAGGGTCTGGGAGTGGGATGCGGAGGCAGCCGCAACTCACTCGGCGGTGGAGCTGGGGGATGGCGTGGTCACGTGGGGCGACTGGCCACACTGGGGATCCGGCAGCTGGGTCTGGCGGGTTGCGCGCTTCCCGCAGTCTTTATAAAGCGGGGCCTCCCTGACCCCCCCTCTCGTTCCCTCTCTCCCCTCCTACCCCGAGACTGGAAAGGGGCTGGGCGGAACGCTGGAAGCAGGGAGGGTGGGGAGGGATGTGCAGAACCCTGTGACTTGCCCCGCTGCTGTTGAGACTAGTGGGGGACTCAAAGCCCCGCAAAAGGGAGGGAAGTGCATGAGCCAGCCTGCCCAGCCACAGCACCAGATTACCAAGTGTACATCTCTCTCTGCAGGGTCTGGATCAGGCACCGCACTTGGGCCACTGAGCCTGTTTCCTCACCCAGCGAGATGTGCAGGGTAATAGGAATTACCGCCTAGGACTTTATGGCTACCCCGGGCAAGCGGAGAATTCAATTCCCAAGGCACGTTTTTCCCCTTGCTTTTACTCAGTCATCTCAGCACTTCTCCTTATGTGGCATTTGGTTGCTTTATTTTTTTTTCCTTACCTGGCTTTGTTACCGGGTCCTCAGATCTACCTGGGACCTTGCCCAGAGCAGCACAGTGCCTGCCTGTCAAGCGCAAGGCCCTCAGTTCAATTCTCAGCACCACACACACAGAAAAGAATTGTGACCCGAGGCAAATCTGAAGACCAGGCCTCAAGACAAAGAGGCAGCCCCATGTGATGGTGTATGCCTGTAATCGCAGCACTTGGGAGGCTGAAGCAGGAGCATCAGTGTGAGTTTGAGGCCAGCCTGAGCTACACAGCGAGTGCAAGGCCAGCCTACACTACACAGTGAGACAGTTAAAAAAAAAAAAAAAAGCCAGGCTTGGTAGTGGACCCCTGTAATCCTAGTATTTGGGAGGCTGAGTCAGGAGGATTATTACAAATTCAAATTCAAGACCAGCCCAGGCTACAAAGTGAGCTCAAGGCCAGCTTGAATTTCATAGCAAGACCCTGTCTCAAAAAGACAAAAAACAAAAACCAAGAACACCACCCCAAAATGCCTTTGTTCTTTCTATGTATACTTGCTACATGACCTGCTTGCCTATTTGGCTGACATTAACTGAGCTTGTTATCCCATGTGCTGATTATAGTCTGACCTATGTTGTACACACACTGTGACTGTGCTGTATAAATGACCCCCGACAAAGGGCTTTGGTGGCCACCTCCTTCTAAGACCCCTCCTGTCTGAGGAGCTCTCTCTCAATAAACCTTTCCTACTTTTAACCTCCTTTGTCCTTTGGCATTCTTCTTTGACTTCAGGGGACACAAATTTGGCATGTATGACATCTAGCAGGTTGAAAATAACATTTTTCCTTATCACCAAGAAAACCAGCATGGCTGGTGACCCTAGATCTAGGTTAACTAGCCTGAGTTATTTAGGCTTCCTTCCGCTCCAGACACACTGGCCTTTTTGTCCTTGAATATACAAGATTTTCTTGCTTGGGGCCTTCACATTTGCTGTTCTCTATGCCTTGAATGCTTTTCCAGACTAGATGGTCACAAGGCTGGGTCCTTGTCACTTTGGTCTCAGAGGGGCCCTGCCTTGCCATTAGTCTTCATCATGTCATCCTCATTTTCCTAGTTTCTCTTCCCCTACCCTTCCCTTCCTCTTCCTCTCTGTCTCTCGCTCAGTCTGACTCTCCCACTCAGCCTGCTCCCTCCTCTCCACTGCATGTGTCTCCCTTTCCCTCCCACCCCAGGGTGCGCAGGACAGCTTTGCGGGCTCCCCGAGTCCCATCACTCCTTCCCTGAAGTACGGAGGGAGGAGAATCTCCAAGTTCCTTCCACTTTCCCTCTTCACTTTGAAGAACACAGAGGCGGTTCCCAAGCTGCAAAGGTCAGGAACTGCTTTTCCAGCCTCTCGGGCCACCAGCACAGTGATATCAAGCAGAAGCAAGGAAGTCAAGTCCTTTGGATGCACACCCAGATCAAGTACTTCTGTCTTTCCTCACACCACAGGCAGCCTTTCCGGGAAAGGGCCAGAGAACACATATTTTAAGCTTTGCTCAACTCTACCCCTGCAGCATGAAAGCGGACACAAACAACAATAAAGCAGGCTGCTGCCTGGATTTAGCACATGGACCATAGGTTCCCAGTCCCTGTTCAAGAAGAAATTTAAAAAGCTAATCTGCGTCCGAGCCTCAGTTTCCACATTTATAAAACTGGATAATCTAGTGGCTGCCTACCTCCTTGGATGGCAGTGAGGATTTAATGTGGTTAAGGGCTGGGGATTTATCTCAGCAGCATAAGTGCCTGCCTTGCAAGTGCACAGTTGTGAGTTCGATCCTCAGTACCGATAAAAAAAAAAAAAAAGATTTAATGTGGTAAAGTATATAAAATGACAAAGCAAGTCCATGGTATACCAAAGAGCTTACCAAATGGCTGGTAATTAGTGGTACCTTGTTTAACAAACAAAAATTCACTTACAGTGCCCAACATCCTATGAAATAAGTATCACCACCAAAGTTCACTTCAATTAACTCGTCAACCTCATAACATTGTACAAAATAGATATCATCACCCTGTTTACAGATGAGGAAAATGAGCCCAAAGAGGTTAAATAATTAGGTCAGGGCAGTCTGACTCCAGGCCCATCCTCTTAATTATTTCATTGTTTGATTGTTTTATTTGTTTTGAGACAGATCTTACTAGGTACCCAGGCTAGTCTTGAACTCATGGCAACCCTGCCTCAAACTCCTGAGTGCTGGGATCACAGATGCACGCTACCAGGCCTGGCTCATTTCATCCCGTTGGTTCTTTTCATTGATTTACTCTTTTCTCTATTTTATTTATTTAGTTATTATTATTATTTTTTGGTACCGGGGATCAAACTCACGACTGCGCCCTTGCAAAGCACGTGTGTTTATTTCCCCAGCCCTTTTGCTTTGTTTTAATGGGGATCAGCCCAAGGCCTCATGAATGCTAGGCAGGCACTCTACCACTGAGCTACATCCTTAGCCAGGGCTCTCTCTTAATTCTTTTAGTTCTTGAGGTAGCTATTTTTTCAAATTTTTATTTATTTATCTTTTGGAGACAGGATTTCACTATACAGTTCAGGCTGGCCTTGAACTTACTTTGAAGCCTAGGCTGGCCCCAAACTTGCAGCAGTCCTCCTGCCTCAGCCTCCCAAATGCTGGAATTACAGGGGTACACCACTGTGCCCAGCTGAGATAGCTATTATTGTCCCTGTTTTTTTTTTTGTTTTTTTTTTTTGCATATTGGGAAAGTGGGACACATAAGAGGAAGTATATGGCCTGAGTAAGTAAACACAGACTCTGCTGGCCACAGGATGCCAAGCTGACTTTCTGGCCAAGATGTCAGCGTGCATCCTCCTGCCCCCTCCCCTCCCTGTCTCCAACTGTGATTTCTTTGGATCCCTGCCTGGCTTGGAGACGCTGCATTAGGCCATCTCCCCTCCTCACTGCTGTGACTACCCCCAATGCCTACCCTAGCTGCACCTCGGGAAGCCATGCCTTCTTCCTCGGCCTGAGCCATGAGCACTGCAGCTCATGTGCCTATGTTTGTCATCAGGGGTGTGCCTGGGACACGTGATACAAGTCCCAGTGGGAAGATGGGAAGGGGGTGCGCAAGAGGTGAGAAGGTCAGATGTCAAGCCAACCTAGAAGACCATGATGACATCTGTTTTCAGAATGCAGCTGGACAGAGCAGTCCCTCTGGGGCCTGGACAGTTACCAAATAGAGAAAAGGGAAATACAAGGGCTGGGGCTTGTTGAGTTCAGCAGCCTGGGCAGAACTGTTAACTGACTTTCTGTGGTTTTTCTATCTAGTCTTTGTGTTCTCTTTTTCTTCTCCATTTCCTCCTTGAGGATCAGTTCTCTTTTTCTGGGGCAGGAACCAGCTACCTGTACCCTGAAAGTCTTTCCAGGTTTGAAACACAGATACTAAGGTTTCTCATAAGGCGCTGCTTCCCCAAAGTCCCAGGGTCATTTGCACCCCGTAGCTGGCCCTCTCCATCTTGCTTGGATACTGCCCTTGAGCGGCTTATTCTTCCCTTCTGGTTTCCTGCTCCTTTTCTTGTGTTTCTTTCTGGTTCCCAGGCCACTTTCTTCTGCTCATCGACACTGACTCATGGGGGGTCTCTCTGCAGTCCTTTGAGTTTTGTGACTGGCTATGCTTCATCTCACTCAAATTGTTGGGCGTCTGTAGCGGTGCTTTCTAAGTGTTTGTGTTTCGTAAGCCAGAAATAATATTTCAAGGTAACCACGCGGGGGGGGGGGGGGATCAGAGGCAGGGATTTTCCCTCTTGAAATAACAGTGGGCTACCATCTTCAGCCCAGGCTTCTCTCTTTTTTGCAGGGCCTTCCTACATTTACAAGAAAGAGCCAACATATTCCAATTATTGAGCGTTTCCAAGATGTCTTAATACTCCGTCTCTGGATTCTCAGTGTAACACAGGCTTTGGTCTAGCAAGCATTGTCAGCCGGCAGCCTGGAGTCCTGAGGACATCACAGCCCTCTGCCCTCCTCCTGTCTTCTGGCATGCATCTAGATCCAAGTTTAGAAACTCTTCCCAACCAGGGCCAAATTCTGCTTCTTAATCTTCTTCATATGAGATCATGGCGCCCTCCTCTACTCAGGGTTCAAGTCAAACGTCCTTTACTCTCCTTTCCTTACGTCGTGTGCTAGCAGATCCTAGTATCTAACGTAACAGACATTCCACACCTGTACCCCCATCTCTTTCAGCACCAAAGTCCTCCAGGTTGTTTTCTTATTTTACCTGGACACTTGCCTCATCTCTCTGCCTCAACACTTTCTCTACAGATCTAGGCTTTCTGTATCAACTAAGAAGGTGTTTTTGTGTTTTTCTCCCTAAGATAGGGTCTCTGTACCCCAGGCTGGCCTTGAACTCGCAGTGATCCTCCTGCCTCAACCTCCTGAGTGCTGGGATTATAGGTGTGCTTCACCATGCCTGCTTCTCCCAAAGTGCTCTTTTTGGTAGAAACCATAATGTTTCTCTTTCTTTTATTTATTTATTTATTTATTTATTTTTTTGGTGCTGGGGATCGAACTCACGACCTCATGTT